GAATCTGTTTACGTAGAACAACCTCCAGGTTTCGTAAATGAAATGCATCTTGATCATGTATATATTCTAGATAAAGCTGTATATGGGTTAAAACAAGCACCAAGAGCATGGTATGCAACTCTTACCAGTTTCTTAAAACAGTCGAAATTTAAGCAAGGATCAGTTGACCCCACATTATTTCGAAAGAAAGTTGGGAATAATCTGATGCTTGTTCAAATTTATGTTGACGATATTATTTTTGGCTCTACTGACCCTGCTTTGTCTAGTGAATTCGAAAATTTGATGAAAAGCCAATTTGAAATGAGCATGATGGGTAAAATAAATAATTTTCTTGGCTTAAACATATGTCAAAACAGAGAAGGCATATTCATCAATCAAGAGAAATATACAAGGAATTTGCTCGAAAAGTTTGGATTGACAAATAGCACGAAGTTAAGAGTACCAATGGCTGTTGGCACAAGGCTAACACCTTCGTTAGAAACGCCTGCGGTTGATCTTACTTTATACAGGAGCATGATAGGTTCATTGCTTTATCTTACTGCAAGTAGACCTGATATCATGTTTTCTGTATGTAATTGTGCTAGGTATCAAGCAAATCCTCGAGAACCACATTTAACAGCTGTGAAGAATTTTTCGTTATCTCAAGGGAACAATTTCGTTAGGATTGTGGTATCCTTCGAAAACAGGGTTTTTCATTCAGGCATTTTCAGATGCAGATCTAGGAGGGTGTACTTTGGATCGAAAAAGTACAAGTGGTGGTTGTCAATTTTTGGATGGAAAGTTGGTTAGTTGGCAGTCGAAGAAGCAAACGTGTGTTTCGATTTCTACTGCTGAAGCCGAATATGTAGCAGCTGCTGCTTGTACATCACAAATTATTTGGATTCAAAGTCAGTTGAGAGATTATGCTGTAAAATATGAAAAAGATTCCATTGTACTGTGATTCTCAAAGTGTTATACGCATTTGTCATAATCCAATACAACATTCGAAAACAAAACATATAGCTCTTCGTTATCACTTTATCAAAGATCATGTGGAAGATGGAAACATTGAAGTTCATTTTGTCAAAACAACTGATCAGCTTGCTGATATTTTTACAAAAGCATTGGATGAAAAATCATTTGTTCGAATTTTGATAGGTTTGGGAATGATTGAAGCGAGTTCTGTTCCAGGAAGGATTTCGAATGTATAGCAAAGGTGTGTTATACAAATGTGTCGATTCAGAGGCAATAAGACGCCATTCAGCGGTTACTGTTCATAGTCAACGCTTCGAATTCGACAATTTACATGATGGTTGTATGGTACAAAATTTTCGTTAGTTTGTTAAATTTTCGTAAGGTTGTCCAATTTTAGTTAGTTTGTCAAATTTTTGTAAGAATGGCAAATTGTAGTTTGATTACAAATTTTCGTTTGTTTGTAAAACTGTTTTCGTAAATTTGTGCATTAGTTTTCTTTTCGAAAAATCAAAAACTCCAAAAAGATTTTACTGTCGTTTTGTTGTTATCTTTTCGAAAAATCAAAAATACCAAAAAGATTTTCTTTTGTTAATTGTGTTAATTTTCGACAAATTCACAAAAACTCAAAAATATTTTCTTTCTGTTAGAAAAATCAAAATTATCAAAAAGATTTTTGTTATTTTTTTGTTTCTTTTTCTTTGTGTAGATTACACGAAAATTTTTCAAGGGGCATGCTTGTGTTTCTATGGGAAGGTAAACTTTCGATAACTATGTACTAGTTAAACTGTCCCTGGAAGCATGCTGCAACATGTTGACCCAAGCCTCTGTAGACTCAATGTGTGTTTATGAAAGCCTTAATGAAATTTTTCATACGAAAATTTCTTCCCAAGTCAGGCTTATATTCACGTTAGTCGATTGAGCTACCTTACTCTTCTCACATGAGTTAAGAGTTATCTGTTTTGTCCGAAAATAATAGAGGTACAATTCGTTACTCAAAACCAATCTTTTTCATCACCAACTTTCTCACACTTGCACACACGAAGACATATGTCCAAGAGATCTTTGATTCGACCCATCAAGATCTAGATATATCAAAATTCTGTGTTAATGATCTGACATCATGAGGCTGTGATGAAAGTGAAACCCCATTTCCTATCTTAGTAAGGAATTGACGGGGAACTATGTTCCAGATTTGACGAAACATTTGTTTCAGTACCATTTTTCGAAACTCAAAATCATATTCTATTCTCATGTGTGGTCTTGATCAAACTATCGAAGCCCACGATGTTTGTTACCCAACAGGATCCAGAACAAATATTTTTTTGTGAATATGATTTCTGTATGAGTTTCATTTGCTTTCAAAGTTACTATCAACATACTTAAAGCATACTTGTCACTGCCTACACTGGTCAAACAAGTAATTTCTGTTACAATTACTCACCTTATGTTTAGGATGATATGTAACGAAATTATAAACCACCCATTAAGCCTAACAAAAGAAGCCCTTCGATACTTCTCTATAAGTATTCGATTGTAATTCACGGGAACATACACAAGCAGTTGATTATCTCTCTTGATAATTAATGAAGCAACCTTTACCCGGGGTTTCTCTGCTTTTGTGTCAATTTTTTTTTGACATCACATATCCAAATTTTCGTTAATTGTTTCTTATCTTTTCTTTGGCACATTGCACACACGAAATCCTTGAGGTTCTGAGTACTACCAACTCAGGCTGATGATTTCGACAGTCTAGAAAATGACTTCGTCTCTAAACCCAAAGACGAAAGAGCTTAACCTCCATCCGAAGGTCGATGACGGTTACTATTCCTTGAGGTGACACGAACAGACTGTGTGAGGAGACGTTTCCTGGTTTCAAGGCGGTGTGACAGTTACTTTTTGACGCATGGCAACTTTATTGGCAGACTGGTGCGACTTTTAAGGTGCCACATCAGATCTCAATCGATGCTTATCCCGCGTTCAATTCAAATTCAGGGTTACATATAAAAAGGGTATTTACGGGTTATTTGTCTCTTTACGCTCACAAAAGAAATCAAATACCCAAATTATCTCTGTTCTTCAAAGCTTCAAAACCCTAATCATGGCTGGTGTTGATTCTGCTTCTCAAACAATTGAAGACATCACTTCTCAACCAATAATGAAGATTCAAAGCACCAATTATCAAGTGGAAGGGGATGTGTCTCTGTATCCTGAAGAATTGAAGATGTTAATCGTAGCATTGAAGAGTTCTATTCTTTCAAAGGTGATGTTCAACTTATTCGTTGTTCCTCTCTCATGGCTTTCTCAGGCAGGATCCACTGCTACGTATAGCAAAGCAATGGATATCATCACCTTTCAACTGGTGAATGACAAGAAAATTCGTTTATCCAAGAAGATCTTCTGCCAGATTCTGGATATTCCCAATTCTCAACTTGTTATTGATCTCACTTATGCCCAAGTTGTTTATATGTTTAATGAGATGGGTCATCAACCCCCACTCACGAAGATTAGTGATTTCAAGAAGTCAGCTCTTCCAACTGTTTGGAATTTCTTGTTTGGAATTTTTCTTCGATGCTTGACTGGTTGAAGTGTTGGATTAGACAAAGGTCGCATGGAGGTTTATGCGATGGTGGCAGGATTGTACTATGATGTTTCTGTCGACTATTCTACACAACTGTGGAAGGAATTTTCAAAAGAGTGTTGAAAACACGAATGTGGTTCAGGGCATTTCGTGTGATAGGTATTGGAGTTTGATACTTGGATATTTCTATGAAAAAGAAGGAATTGTTGTACCTGCTGATGAAGAAAAAGCTGAGTTTCTGAAGTATCACTTCCCAAAGGAAGTTTCGGATGATATGGAAGTATTCACACACATTGCTCGGATTCCTGATGCAATGTTAAAGAGGGTTGAGCCAACAAATTCGGTGTTGGTTGAGTACTTGAAAACTATCAATCCAGATGTTGAGACTGGAAAATTATTGTCAAAAGAAGAAGCTGGTCCTTCCAAGAAGTCAAAACGTTCTAAGAAGGATGTAAAGGCTACACTTGAGATACCAGTGCACGAAACTAAAAAGTCTCCTGAGAAGATTGTGCACGAATCCACGAAGTTTCGAAAGAAGCCTGAGACGGCTGAAGTGAATGTTTCGACTGTTGTCATCAAACCAGTGGAACTAGTTGATGATACTGTAGTTGCAGAGAAAATTCCTTCCAAATCTGGTGTTTTTCGAAGATTGAAGAAAAGGACTAGGGGTTCACGAAAATCTTCTGATGGTGTGTTAAAATCTTCTCCTTCCATTGTTCGTAAACCACAACTTTCTCATCAAGGGGTCATTTTTCGTGAGGTTCCAGCTGCAGTTTCGCCTTTGTCAAAGAAATGTAGAGCTGAAGACGTGGCTAAACACATTTCAAAGAAGAAGAAAAAGCAACGAAAGTTGGTTATCCAAGAGGAATCATCAGAAAAAGAAATAGTTCCTGAAACACCAGAAACAATTGTTTTTCAATTTATCTCTACTCCTGAGAAGACTACGGTCATACCGCCCGAAGTATCGTTAACTGAATCATATACGGAGGAGGTTCGAACTTCAGGTATTTCTACATACGTATCTGATACGGATATAAATGTCAATATGGGTGAGGGAGACTCGAACAAAGAAGTTGCTGCTACTACTCAAGGTATTCCTGTATCTTCGAAAACGGATACTTTCGTGTCATTACCTCCTTTTATTGTTCTGAATACTATAAGTTCACCAACCTTTGAAAACATTCTTCATCAACCCTTTACTACTCTTTTTCCATCTCAATCCACTGATTCACCCAAAATCGATTCACCTGTTAAAACTTCACCTGTTGTTGAAACTGATACTGACAATGAAGGTTTTGGAGGCATGTTTGAAGATTTACAGTTTGATGATGAAGAAGATAACTTTCCAAATCATATGTTGATGACAATGAAACAATTCAAGATTCTCAACAAGAAATTGAATTCTACTCTTCAATCTCAAGCAGATTTGGGGAGTAGTTCGTCTGTCTCGAGTATGGAAGTTGATAGTATGTTGAAAACCTTCGAAGCGAAGGTGGTGAGTAAAGTATGTGGAATGGTACGAGATTCAGAGATTCGACTCTTGGAGAAGGTTGATCACAATGATCAAAATAATGAGTTAAGAGTGAATTCTCTAACTTCGATGTTTAGAGGGGAGGTGAACGAATTTAAGCATTTGGTGAAGGAACGACATGTGTTATTCGTTCAGGATGTAAAGAAAGTGAGGGAAGATGTGAATTTGCAACTTCAGGAGCTTCGACAAGATATGCAAAAGGAGACCTCAACTTACTCAAATTTCAACAACGGAAAATCAAAGCTTTATGGAAGTGCTCAAACTACTGAAGGAGCTAAAAGATTTCACTGTTAAATCAGTTTCATCTCCGTTGATTACTCCAGATTTTTTGTCTCAGAAATTCGTTCATTTTGAAGCCATCTTACACAAACAATTAGCTCCGCTTTCTCACATCTCGAGCCTTCTTCCAACGAATGCCCCACCTGTTTTCACAGGGGTGCAAGGGGGAGAAAAGGAGGTTGGTGGTACGAAAAGCTGGTGGTGAAGATTTGCATAAAGATGCAAAGGTTGTTGGAAAGGTGTTTTCTTGGAAGGTTCCAATAACAAAACCGATCATGTCAACAGCTGGGCCAGTTACTTCAATTGTTGTAACAACGAAGCCAATTTCAACGAAGCCAATTTCAAGACCAATTTCCAAAGGAATTATGATTGGGGAAGGTTGCAGCAGTTCGAAGCCTAAGGAAGTTGTGGATAATTCCTCAGTTAAAGACAAAGGAAAAACGGTTATGGTCGAAAAGTCAAAGGAGGAAAAGAAAGCTGAAGTAGAGGCTGAGCTTGAAAAGCTACGAATCGTGCAAAGCATTATGCGACTTCGTGCGAATGATCCACCTGGGATGAACAAGGGTGATCCTTCAAAGCATTACAATTATGAGATGATAGAGTCGAAAGTTACATATAATCATATGTATGCTTTCAAAAAGAAGCCAAAGCAGAGCTATGTTGTTCTCAACACAGATATGAGTCAATTGGATTTTCCCATTAATGAGATGATGTTCATTATGGCTCAGTACAAGATAGCTGAGAAATTTGACAATGATGATGAGTACACTTACATGAAGATCAGATTTCATGTTGTACTTGGAAAGCTTCCAGAGGAGATTTGGTCACTGGTAAAAGATAAAGAAGGTGATAAGCATAAAGCAAGATGTGTTGTTTGAAAATATGATGCAAAATCTTCGCTTTATTGTTTCGAGGTCAAATGGGCAAGTTTGTGATTTTTCAGTGGTTGAGTTTCCTTTAATGAACTTGTATGAACTGATACAAGTTGCATTGTTGTTAAAGGATAAAGACGCTTCATATCTTCGAGAAACTGATCCTGAAGTTTTTCGACTTGGGTTGGCTCACATCAAGATTTTCATTGACAACTATTATGAGTGTTTAGCACTTACAGATGTTGAGTTAGCTACAGCCAAGGGATTGACAGTAAAAGTACCAATGTAACTTCCTTTAACTCAACCTGAGTTGAAGAAGTATGCAGACGGAGAAATTTGTTTGAAGCCATTTGGTTTGGTATTTGTTGGGAAGGATAAAAATGGGAAAACCAAAAGATTATTGTTTCAAGCTTCCGAAGTGGAAAGATATACAACATCCCAATATACGAATTTCATTGTTCGTATGAATAGCTGTAAGAAGAATAACGAAGGAGATAAGAAGGAGTTGAAGAAGATTATCTCATGGTACACTGAGATTCGAAGGGTTATGTTGTATGCTATACAGATACTCTTGAACTGATGAAGGTCGACATTATTACAAAGGGGGAGATTGTAAGGGTCGAATTTAGTTGTAATATGTCGAAGTCTTTTGTACACTTCGTATGTTTGTTAAGTTTATTTACTAAGGTATATTTCGTTCGAAGCTTAAATGTCAATGCCTTAGTATTTTTTGTATGCTTTCACTGTTCCTATAAATATGGAACTTTACTAGAGTTAGATAAGAGTCCTTTACAGAACCTGTCTATTTTCTCTGTAAAAGTTGAAAGCATAAATGAGCAGAAACCAGATCTTATTTACATCGTTTGTTCAATCTACATTCGCTTTACTCTGATTTTGATTAATACTTGATTCCGCGATTCATCAAAACCCACGCCCCACAAGGTTTCGTTTAACCCACATCCATTGCCTCTGCCAAATTTTCTTTGGAGTATCTTGTTCAGAGATCAACTGACGAATGCCCTGCCTTTTTCGCTAGAGTGCGGACGCCAGAATTCGTAGTTGAGCAGAAAAAGTAACTAAAAACCCAAAAAGTGGGTATGCAACCCAGAGATCGACAAATCAGTTCAAAACCTACGATCTTATTCACAACGCTTGGGGTCAACTCGTCAACGGAAAAAGCCATAGTGATGCACAATCATGTTGAAAAAATCAGATGTCGGCAGGCGCAACCCCGCTTCGCATAGTGGGATCGGAACCCCCACTTTCCCTTGAGGACAGTCATATATCGACAACCCCTTTGCCGGAATCATCACACTGTGGTCCGGTAAGAAACCGAAACGATCTTGCAGAAATTGAAATTTCTCTATGGTAGGGACTCTACAATAACGGTCCATTGTCGAGAACAGATGAATGATAGAAAAAGAATTCCGTAAAGTGCCTGAGTTGATACAACGAAAGAAAAGAAAGGAGGTGAGGATGAAAGGTCTTGTGAAAAAGGGGGATTTTAAAGGCAAAAATGGCGTCACGCACCGTCTCGCGATGGATCTGACACACATTGACGGCACTGTCTAAAGCCTGTCAAATGCAAGAAATAATCTCAGACATACACGTGTTGCAATATAGGCTCGAACGACGACGCTATCAAGCCGACACATACACCTACAAGCCTAAGGGACTTGTTAATGTATCCCTCAGGGAGAACGTCAAAAAAGGAGAAGTCTAACTAACGCCAAGCTTGGCCTGGTCAGACCCTGTTTAGACCTATTCTGAGGCCAAGGTCGGCCCTTCGCCACCACGAAGATCACTGGTATGGCGGTTAAGGTGCAGAACTGCGCCTTAACCTCTTCTCCAAGGAATAACACCCCGACAAACGTGGGACCAATCAGAGAGTTCCACTTGCCCATCTAACGATATCCACGGTCATCATAATATTAAAGATTCCCCAGTAGCCAATGTGGAGATGAGGCAAAAAGACGTGATGGAGGATCCTCCAATATGGGTCCGCCACGTCGCACCTCACGAGAGAATGCTCAACATAATCAGTTGAGAGGCACACATCTCTCAAACAGGTATAAAAGGATCCTTCTTCCTCACGAAGAATGAGACGAAACTCATTTTCCTGTGATTTACTCTTACTTCTCTCAGACCTTATTCTAGCTTGATTGTCGGAGCTTCGTCCCGGGAATTCCTCCCGGACGTCGACTAACGATCATCTTTCTCTTTTGTACTGTGATATCAGGAGAAGGAACCTGCACGAAACCCATCTACAATCTCAATCCAACCATCTCCTATATATCACAACAACATATATATATATATATATATATATATATATATATTCAAATTTACAATATAAAAATGAATAAAAATAATATCAAATGATTAAAGTTTTTATCTTAATTTGTGAAAGTTATTGGTTAAAAAATATGTAACACTCATAAAAATCATGATAAATTTAAACTTTTAAAAACCAATCAACTTCACAAATTGTTTACAAACATAGTTTCAAAAGCATTTCAACATCAGAGGTCCCAAAATCATAAGTCCAAAACATCAGGATTTGTATGGTCACGCCTTCGCCTTCCCGCGGTCATTTGAAGTACCTGAAACAGAACCCAAAACTATAAGCCAACACTTAGTGAGTTCCCTCAAAATACCAACACATAACCAAATAACGTAAATATACAATATATAACTGCATGCAATAGGTCCACAACTAAAAGTTTGGATTACCCCTAAGCCCATAGCATAAGTTTGGCTTGCCCTAGGGGCCCACAACTTATGTCTGGCTTACTCCCCGACTAGTTCAGTCGTTGGACTGAATACCATCAAGCCCTCAATACGAGTCTGGCATGCCCTACCCGGCCCTCAGCTCGTATCTAGAATGCTCATGAGCCCTTAGTATGAGTCTGGCATGCCCTACCCGACCCTCAGCTCATATCTGGAATGCTCCAGGGTATGTTGGCTATCGCACGGAGCAGTACAATCTCAACCCAACCCAACACAATATGTCGACATATACCAGAATATAAACATAAACAGATAATCATACAACAGAGTCACAGGTAGTCCTACGGATCTACCAGTCTAACATATCAATAACTAGCATAAACATGCATATATATATATATATATATATATATATATATATATATATATATATATATATATATATATATATATTTATATATATCCCCTACTCAGGATATCATTGAGTATCAAACCAATGGGACGACCTTGGTGCCTTCGGCCCACAAGTAAAGTGAGGAAAACTCACCTCACAAACTGAACAAAAGCTGATGAGGTCCCTGACTCTGAAACTCAGCTCTCTAACCGACACCTAATCCCACCAAAGACCAATTTCTATCAAAATCCCAAAATACCCACAATGGTCAAACTTGATCAAAGTCAACTGGTCAAACCTACTAAGTCAACTGAGTCAACCCAGCCGAGTCAACCCAACCGAGTCTGTAATATCCCGACTTCCAGGTATAAGAGTTATCTTTTGTATGATTTTCCAGTCGAACTCGACGAGTTGGGTAGCCTCAACTCGGCGTGTTGAATAATGTTTTGGCCGCAGGAATTAATGAAGCAACTCGGCGAGTTGAGGAGCCTTAACTCGGCGAGTTGACAGCGGGGAAGGAAACCCTAATTTTTAGGGTGTTGCACCCTATTTAAAGGCCTTAAGTCCCTTAGTTGGCCTCCTTACCAGCATCCTCTCTCCAGAAACCCTAAATTCGAGTATCATCTTCCATAGTTGAGTGTGTGAGCTTGTGGAGAGCTTTGAGTGTTGATTTTTGGTACTCTTTTGAAGGAGCCTTGAAGTGAAGGTGTCTAGCTTGGTGGAAAGGCTTTTGATCTAGAACTTGCCCACTTATTGCAGTCTCTTTGAGGTATAAAGTTTGTACCTTGCCACTTCATTGATTAGATCTCTTCTTTTGGGGTTTTATCTTGATTATTGGATTCTTTGATTGATTGTCCAAGGATTTGAGTGTTTCATGGGTTGTCTTTTTAGATATGGCCATCTTGTAAACTCATTTGGCTTAAATTTGCAAGCTTTATGAGAATTTTGGTGTCATGCATGCATTAAGTCAATTCTCAAGTCCAGTTTAAGCTTAAGAGCTTCATTTAGAGATGCATGAA